TCTTCATTGTATTCACCGCGATAACTTTCCTGGTCCCGTACGGGATCATACAAGGCTCGGAGCAGGAGCAACGTTGAGATTTCACACGATTGTCCCTCAACAAGTCTAACAGCGTCTTCGATCGAGCCTCTGACGACATATTCCGTGTAAGTTCGGTTCTAACGCTCTTGTCTTGCATTGTTTTAACTGTCTGACCCGTCTCTTGAAAAGTCTTAGTCTTCCGGGCTCGCAAAGGAGTAGAAGTCGGTAATTTCCTCGAATCTTCTTCCCCAGCACTGAAGTTTGTATCCTGTAGCATCGTGCTGAATCCGTACGATCCGTTCTCCAGATAATCCGTAGTTTCTACTTTATCCCGATAATCGTTGCTCGAAGGAGTCTTATTCTCTTGACCGCACGACTTGTTGGCTTGGCAGACCGCTCGTTCTGTGCGGATAATTATATTGATGCAATGCACGTTGCAACCGGTCGTGTCAGGACGCACTTGATGATGTTTAGTGCACGCGCAAGCCATGGCGACGGTGTTCGACGTGTCGAATCGATTTGTACGTCTCGCGGTGTCTATGTCAGTTCCATTGACGTCATCCCGAATGCATCCTCGCTGCAAATATCTATGGGGATCAAGAGACATCGTATGTAATGTCCTACACGATTACATTTAAATCTACATTGAAACTGTCCGGGCTCGAATTTAGCGACCTGCAAAAACAAAGCAGACAATTACAGGTGTGAGGCGTGAGACGCATATACGATCTTCGTTGTTATTTCTACTGTTGCGTCGGAGGAGAGCAAGAATTCGAATCGCCGGTCACGCGCATCAAAAAAGCCAGTCTTTCGAGGTGAGAAAACTCGTGTATATTTCCTACAAACGTACGTACACGCGCTCCACAAATGACATAACGTCGCGGAAAAGACCGCGTACGATTCGTCATAAAAGTTCTTACAAAAGCACCAATAAATCAAATCCACGTTATCAACTAGCTTGACTACTCGGCGAAGTCGCGGGCACTCTCGTCGGCTAACGAACGTCCGTGCGTTCGTTCTCCGCGTCGTCGGGAGACCTGCGTCGCGAGTAGGAGAATGTGCTGGGACATCGCGACGTAACGTCGGAAACGAGAATACGTCTGTCGAGGGACGAACGGCATCGACACCTGCCGGGAAATAACAGAGGAACAACTCGATCGTCGTGCTCGCGCGTCGATTTTGATCCTGCGCCTGGATCGTCGCCGGTTACGCACACAGAGTGTCCGGGGATCGCGGTGTACGGTTTCCTCAGCCAGTCTACCTGCCTGGTAGGCGAATTTCGTCATTGGCACCGATCGATCGCGAGACTAATCTTCACGTTGGACTTTCACGCGCGGAGAAGACATTACAGTCATGTTGACTCTACCTGGACGCGGAGACGGCACTGAGTTCGTCGTTAGAGGATCTCGTGTCCGGCCGAGGGGGAAGGTTCGCGCAATCTTGAGACTTCGGCTGAACTGGAAATGTGGACTCCTCGGAGTATCTAAACGCGGAAATGATCGCGATAGGCGAGGTTCGAGCAAGAAGCGCGTGATAAGATGCAAGAACAGATAGGGATTCGGGCGCGAATCGTCACTAGCGACAAAATACCTGCGACTCTCCTCTTCCTTCCTCGCCCGGTCGAACCTCTCGTTGGTGACTTGTCTGCGAAGTTCACTGATCTGTTTGTTGTACTCCGCTGCTTGAGTCTGATACCGCCTGAGTTCCATGGATTCCGACGACCTGCGATCACGATTAAAAGTAAGTATTGTGAGCGACTATATGCGAATGTTTCGCTAATATTACACGCGTACAGTTTACTCTGAAACTCGCTGATTCTCTGCTTTAATCTGGCGATTTCATTTTGCAGTTCCTGATTGGTGGTTTGCGCGTCAATGGACTCTTGCCTCGCTTGGTCCAGAAGGGTCTCCAGCCGGTCTACAGTCACGCGATCCCGAGTCATCTGATCCTCCGCGACGCTCTGTTCGGCTTTCAGCCTGGATAGTTGCGACTCGTACTGCGCAAGAACGAGAACACAGTATACAGAACAAACGAAGAAAAGATAACATCGAAAAAATAGGCGGAATTAATTTACATGCGCCTTCACTGAATTCTTGTCGCCGAGTTGTTCAAGAAGCGCGTCCTTTTGTTGATCCAGTTTCACGCACAGGTCCCTGATCGCCATTAGATCAGCCTCGGCGCGGAGCTTCTGCTCGGTCTGCTGTCGCAGTTGTGTCTCCATGCTGGCAACGCTTTGTGTCAGTTTGCTTATCTGAAGAAATCATCGAACCGGCATATATAAATAATTGATGTTTGCGCATCGGATTCTTTTGAATTAGTACTTTTGAATTGGTCAAATAAGTAATACTATCTAGTAATACTACTATTATAGAATATCAGTATAAGAGAGTAACTGATACCTGAGTCTCATAGCCTTTTATCAAGCAGTCTCTGTCCGTCAGTTGTCGTTCCAGGTCGAGCATCTGATGCCTCGCCGTTTGCAAGGCGCCTCTAGCCTCCGCCGCCTCGGACTCCAGGCTGTGATTGTTAGTCTCCAAGACAGTCGCCTCCAGACTGAGACTGCGGAAATGATTCAACATTTCCGTTCTTTCGTTTTCCTGGAGAGGACGAGAGAGAAGAAAGAGTCGTTAAGTCGACGTAATCATGGATCCTCTCTCCTGGATCTTACCTTTCGATTCAAGAGCTCCTCAGCGCGACGAACCTCGCTCACATAGGTCTGCAACTGCCTCTTCAGGTCGTAGGCCTCGGCATGCGAGGCTTCCAGCTCGCGCTGCATATTCCGCACTTCGCAGGTCACCGCGGCCAAGTCGTCCTGCAGCTTTCGGTTCTCCTGAATGGCATTTTCGCGATCTGCCGATGCGGCATTGAACTGCCGCTGAACCGTCTCCATTTCCAGCTGCAGCGACCTCAGCTGCCGTTCCTGTTCCGCGCTCTGATCGACGCATATTCTACAATTAATGCCGTCGTGGCACGTTGAAGAGCGCAAAAAAGTAAACGGCGGTGAAAATGAAGATTAGAAGTTGTCAGCAGATGAAAAATAAGAATTGGAAAGTACTTGCAATAAGTGGCACGTGTTTATTGATGTAAATCGCATTGTTATTCTCTCACTTTTCTTACTATAAGAAAAGATAAATGCTGATTAATTTAAACGTAGCGATTAATATAGCACCAAGTATGATCCCCGTTTGTCGCCTGCTGATGATGTTTTCTATTGTAGAATCGTACAGAGCGTCTACAGGTCACGCTTAATTCACCTGCGATCATTTATGCGGATCAGGCTCTTATTCAACATGGCGCAAGAAGACGTTCCCGAAAGGGGACAAGGGCAGTGTCGACGAATTAGGTGTCTATCGTTGTCCGGGTTGCATAATTCCTCCTCTCGAAACAAAGTACTTACGTGATCGGGTTTTCACATTGTCATTCACGAAGAAGATCGGACTTCTCTCGTTGCGCGCGAATTTCTTAACGATTTGCCGCGGGCGAAATTAACGGAATATTAGTTTGTTCCCTCACGTCAATGATTCGTTCGCGCGTCGGACAATCGATCGAACGACGCGTGCGAATCATCGCGTTAAATCGAACGCGACAACCATATTTCAGATGAGAAATCCTCTCGGCGAGGAACGAGCGTGAAAGATCCGCGGATTTCATCGCGGAAAATACGTCAATGCGCCGTCGAAAGCCGAATCATTCCTCACTTTCCTTCGACAGGCTGTCACGGCTTCTGATTGCAGAAGTGGCTCGTCAAAGTTCCGTGTCACACAATCCCGCAGCTCGTCTTCTGGACGACCAATTCACAACCAACAACAGCGTGGATCATCGATCATCCGCGCTCGACGATTACGCGGCGCGGATCCTTGCGTAATCGCGCGCGAGACTCGCAACGATCGACGAGCGCGAAAAAGATCCGGACGCCGTACGACTTTCTCTCGTCTCTTTCTCTCTTTCTCCCTCTCTCTTTCGCGCCGTCCTCTCTTCCCAGCAGCCGCCTCCCGCGGAACATCTGGTCCGTTTGAAAGTGAAAACCGATTCTGCCACGCGTATCGAGAAATGAATTTTTCCGCGATTACCGTGAACAAGCGAGCAAACGCGCGTAGATTTTCCGTGGAAAATTCATCGCATTGGATCTTGTTTTAATAATCCATGTACATTTATATATTTATATAATGAATATATCTGGCAAATATATAAGGCGAATCATTTAATGTGAGATTCTAAAATATCTTTGCTGTATTTTATATTAGAGGAAAATTTATGAAGAATAAATTTATGAAGAATAAATAAGGATTGGAAGGGTTTTGAGGTTGATCACGATATTTAGCTCTTCCAATCACTCAATTTAGAGAATCCTTACAAATTTTCCTCTAATATAAAAAGCAATAGAAATATTTTAATATCTAACGCTAACATTAATCTTTAGAGGGCCGGCATTTGAGGTACCAGATTCCACGAAGAAAATCGATAAAAAATGTACCTTATATCGTATATTCATCGTATACAAAGTACCGATCAGATCATCACTTAAGTGGTGGTCCCGGCTCTGGGCGGTAAAGACAATGTTAAAATTTTGAAATTTGAAAAAATAGGTTTCTAGAAGTTTTCAAGGTCGTTGAATAAGATGGCACTGTCAGTTTTTGTAAATTATGAGAATTTATAGTCATATCGTTATATAAGAAAAAAATAGCAAATAGGGGGAAAGGAAGAGGGATGGGGGAGAACAGTGGGTGCAAACTTATATCTGGATGTGTGATATCTATACACACATAAGTAGATAAGTGTAGAACATGAATGCAACTAACTGTTGTCTACCACCACTATAGTGGTTTTCCGGCCCTCTAAAGGTTAAGTGTCATATGCCTGTATATGCCAAATGTAAATCTATACATGATATCTAGTCATGATATATATATATATATATATATATATATATATATATATATATACATATATATATATATATATATATATATATATATATA